TGTTGGTGGAACAAAAACATTTTAATGATCATCCTGTGCCCTAGGAAATGGCCATGGACAAAGAAAAAGGTTAATCCAAAAAAAGGCACAGTAGTGGATGATGAGAATAGCTGTTGGTTGCAGACTGTTCAGACTTTTCCCCTCTGTATCTGCAGGGATGACCTGACAACAGCAACATCTGGCATCTTTGACCTGTTCCTGCATCATCCCAGTTCTGTTGGATAGGACCACTTTCCCACATTGTAACACCTGCTAAGGGCTGTCGTCCCCCTACCCCGATCCTTCAAACACCCTTTGATTGAACTGCACCACTTCCACAGAGACTCTTTGTCAGCCTCATTCAGATAAGATACCATGTACTGCCTACAGTGGCTCCTCCCCGTGCTGCTCATCCCCAAGCCATTGAACCCGGCGCTGTGGTTCAACCACTCCATGTTCATGGGCTTCTACCTGCTCAGCTTCCTGCTGGAGAGGAAGCCCTGCACCATCTGTGCCTTGCTCTTCCTGGCTGCCCTTTTCCTCATTTGCTATAGTTGCTGGGGCAACTGCTTCCTCTACCACTGCCAGGACGCCACACTGCCGGATGCTGCCCATGACCCAGCCATTGTCGGGACCTAGGGGGCGAAGAGTGGAGAGACATCGAAGAGGGGGATGGGTGGGTGTGACAGGTGATGACATATCGCTGGAGAATCACTGTAGAATGATACTGCCATGCTGTAAGAGGGGAGGGAGTGCTGAAAGACGCTTTGAGGGAGAATACAGAGAACACTTGGCCAGAGGCGGTCCTGAGAAGGGGAAGAGCCGGGGAGCTGGTTTGTCATGCTGTAAACAAAGACGGGCTCAGATTTCAGGTGGTGAGAGGAGAGGAGCAAAATGCTGAGGAGACTGTGTGAATTTGAGGAAAGAAGACTTCCAGCTTCCATTCCAGAACTTGAATGAAAACTAGACAATATAAATCACTAGAGGTAACATCAATCTAATGTGGCCGCTGGCTTTCAGTATTCTGGCTCATTTCTGACTGACTTGTTTACTTCAGTCAGAGAGATTTGTCTTTGTAAAATGAAAATATTCTCTGTCTCAAACTGCCAAAATTCACCTAACCCACTGAAATCTGTAGACAGTTCCACCGGCAGCCGAGCTTGCTCGTCACTCGACTTTGTACGCCAGCTATACGTTTGCTACTTGAGCAATCAGTCTGAACAAACTGTCACCACATTGGCTTCGTACACATCACGCCGTGCTCAGACAATGAAACGCACAGACATGGGACAATCAATAGATATGCTGTGAATAATTCCCCCTTTGCTGCATGGCCACACAAACACACCTCCGAAGGTGGTGCGTTGTTACCCACTGTGCTCTGCAGCTGCTCCTCGTCTTCCTCGTCTCTTCCTCTTCTCGCCTCAGACTGAATGTCCCCGACCCTCAGACTCACAATCTTAGTTTCCTCTTTAGCTTTTTTTTGTGCATGGGTTGCTGTTTTTT